ATTTAAAACCCTTAAATATATACTTCGCTGCCAAATAAATACAATTATCCCTTATTTAAATTTATTTAAATTAAGGAATTATTTCACCGCCAACGGAAACAATTTACTCCACGACGCAATTAACTCTCGGCACGACCCGGACCCCTCTACACATGTCCCCGTCTCGAATCGAGAGTTGGGGGGCTTAATGATATACCTAAATGGGCCGGCCCAATGGGCCCTCAAAGTTACTTACTAATTAGGCCCACTACACGAAAGCCCAAACACCTTCAAAGTAAGGCTTGGGCCCAACAAAGTAAGTCCAACCCAATTACCGATATATAAATAGATGTTTTATTCATTTGTAAAGGTACGTTCTCATATTTGACAATTCACCTCGAGTTTTATTCTCTCTACTCTCTCTACGATCCGTACACCTTACGCGGCAGTGAGAGGGGTTTCCGCCGGATCAACCCCCGGCTTAGTTCACGTGTGCTCTTTTCGTAGGGACCTCAGGAGCATCGAATTGACTAGCTACTGATCAGCTTTGCTCTCCCAGCTCGTTTTCTACATTATCCTAGGTGAGCTAAACTTTAGCATCATCATATATATATATATATATATATATATATATATATATATATATATATATATATATATATATATATATATATAATTAAGGAAGTTTATTAAGATATATAACCTATTTCTTTGCGGCTAAGTGATGTTTGCAATGTCATATATATTGCTTAGCCAACACTATCTTTCCCTGCCGAATTCACCACTTTCGTCGAAAAAAATTACAGAAATTTTATTTATTTGGTTAGTCGGCAAGATTAGTCATGATTAATTAAATAAACTGACTTATTTAATATTTGATTAATTAATTTTCAAAATCACTATCACTTTTTGATTTTTTTTTCTATTACATTATATACACACACATTATATATCTACATATGTAAAATATGCAAAATGAAAAAAAGTATTACGAAAATCATTTTATAATTTAGAAATGTAGGACCTCATAGTAAATTTAAAAAAAAAAGTGTCAACGACATTTAATTGCATTGCGAATTGATTTCTACATTTATTTTTTAAAAAAAATGAAATTTCATTTATTAAAATGGGACTTTATTTTCAAAAATAGTTTACTTAATTTAAGCAAAGATCTGGCACTATCAATTTTCAACACAAAAATTAATTATTTTTTACTTCTTACCCCAAAACTCTACCAAGTCAAAAGGAAACCTTAAAGCTTGCATGGTAAAAGTGCGTGTATATATATATACACACATATATATTTATATATATGTATACGATGATTGTAAGTAGGCAAAGAAACAAATCCATAGCAAAAATATTATCCAATGTATTCAACAAAGTTTCTCCTTTCTTCTTTTTATTTTTTTTTTCTTTAATTTTTGCTGAGGATCAAGAAAGTTACAACCCAGCAGCAAAAATGTCATCACCTGCTACAAAATTGCGTTTACACATTCAAAATCACCATGTAAGATATATAACATAGATGAATTTTACTACATATTTAATTAATTAAAAATCCATGAATATTAATTAGTATATATATTTCTGCTGTTTTATTTAATTAATTTACAGGTTGTTTTAGAAAATGGCATCCTTAAAGTCACGATATCGAAACCAGGCGGCATCGTCACTTCCATTGAATACAACAACATCGACAATCTGCTCGAGGTTTCCAACGACGAATCTAATCGAGGGTAATTAATTAATTAATTAATAACTAATCATATACAATTATATATTATAAATATATATAATATACATGTAATATATATTAACATAATTTCTTAATAATATGGTTTTAATTTGTGCAGTTATTGGGACCTTGTTTGGAGTCCTCCAGGAAGCACTGGGACTACAGGAACATTTCAAGTGTATGTATATGTATACATTAATAATTAAAATAATTATTAATAATAATAATAATAATAATAATAGTATAATTTAATTCGACCGCGAATTAAATTAAATTTAAAATTTAATTAATGCAGGATACATGCAACACATTTTAAGGTAGTGGTGAAAACAGATGAACAAATAGAGCTATCATTCTCAATAACATGGGATACTTCTCTCCAGGGCAAGCTTGCTCCTTTGAACATTGACAAAAGGTAATTAATAATTAGATACATATATAAAGAAAAATTAAATAATTTTTAGATATATATATATATATATCACATTATTATTGTGTATAATATATATATAGGTTTGTAATGCTTCGTGGCGCGTCGGGTTTCTATACTTACGCGATTTACGAGCATTTGGAGGCATGGCCCGGTTTCAACCTTGATGAAACAAGAACTGTATTCAAGCTTAGTAAAGACAAGTTAGTCACTAATAATTAATCTGATTTATATATATAATTAATTAATTAATTGATTGATTAATTAATTAACTAATGAATAGGTTTAAGTATATGGCTATGGCAGACAATAGACAAAGGTATATGCCATTACCAGATGACAGGTTACCTAATAGAAGTCAACCATTGGAATATCCAGAAGCTGTTCTCCTAGTCAACCCTATAGAGCCTGAATTTAAAGGAGAGGTACATTATATATTTTAAATAAATATTTATTTATTTTTGTTTTAGAAAATAAAAAATATTGTGTTACAAATAAATTAATGAAGGTGGACGACAAATACCAATACTCGGGTGAAAATAAAGATGTAAAAGTTCATGGATGGATATGCATGGAACATGGTGTTGGCTTTTGGCAGATTACTCCTAGCAACGAGTTTCGAACCGGTGGGCCCACCAAACAGGATCTTACTTCTCATGTGGGCCCAATTACTCTTGCGGTAAGACTTAATTATTAATTAATTATACTAATATGAAAAAAAAATTAAATTTAAATTTTTTGGTTATCAGATGTTTGTTAGTGCACATTATGGAGGAGAAGATGTAGTGCTGAAATTTGGAGAAGGGGAGAGTTGGAAGAAGGTGTTTGGTCCGGTTTTTTTCTATCTTAATTCCGCAGCGCAAGATGACGATATTACCCTTTCGCTTTGGGAAGATGCCAAACGACAGGTTATTTAATTTTAAATATTTATATGTATTATGCGAAATAAATAAATGTTTTTTTTTAATTAAATAAATGATGGATCAGGCGTCGGAACAAGTTGAGAGCTGGCCTTATAGTTTTCCGGCTTCGGAGGATTTTCCGAAGGTGGAGGAGAGGGGCAATGTTACTGGAAGATTATTAATTAGAGACAGGTAAATTAAAATGAATTTCATCTAAATTAAATATATATTTTAAATGCAAAGTTTTTTTTTTTTTTGAGTAATTCAAGTCATTACAAGGAAAAGTAGGGGAGGGGGACACGAACCCTAAACCTTTTACCTTATTGGTAAGGCTAGGTACCTACCAACTCTCCGAAACGAGGGTTGGTATTTTAAATGCAATTGCAAAGTTCTGATAATTATTTATTTAATTTTATTTAGGTGTATGAGTGATGATTGTATAATGGGAAATGGAGCTTACATTGGATTGGCTCCACCAGGTGAAGTTGGTTCTTGGGAAAGAGAAGGCAAGGTGATTATTTTTTATTTTTTTTACTTTGGAAATCATTTTATTTCATTAACTTTCATAAATATGTATATATATAAATTAAATTAAAAAAAATATTGAAATTTAATAAATTTGATATTCAGGGCTACCAATTTTGGACAAGAGCAGATGAAACGGGCAATTTTACGATCGGCAACATCCGGGCCGGCAACTACAATCTCTATGCATGGATGCCTGGATTTATCGGAGACTACAAATACGAAGATTCCATTAGCATATTCCCAGGTTTTCTTCTTCTTTTTTTCCCACGAATAATTAATATTATTGCATTGTATTTATTTTCCACAATTTATCGAAAATTGATTAATATATAATGTTCATGTGTTAAAAAAAATAGGGTGCAATATTGATACGGGCGAGCTGGTGTACGAGCCCCCGAGAGATGGGCCCACATTGTGGGAAATCGGCATTCCTGACCGTTCTGCCGGAGAATTCTACATTCCTGACCCCAACCCGAAATTAGTCAACAAACTTTATGTTGACCATCCAGACAGGTTTTTTATTTTTATTTTATTTTTATTTATTAATATTGTTATAATTAATTAATAATCCATATATGGTATAATTAGGTTCAGACAATATGGACTATGGGAGAGATATGCTGAGTTATATCCTGATGGAGACTTGGTTTATACAGTTGGGGAGAGCAATTATGCCACGGATTGGTTCTTTGCCCAAGTTAACAGGTTATTTTGTCAATTAAAATTATTATTATTTTTAATTTTAAGAAGAAAAAAATCATTTTCATTTAAAAAAATAAAATTCTAAGCAACCATGTGGCAAATTAAAATGGAACATTTAAAAAATAAAATCCGAATTATTTTTGCCAACTCTTATACAAATCTTGAATCATTTTCAGAAAAACGGTTAAAAATACATACAAAGCAACGACGTGGCAAATTAAGTTCAAGCTCGACGCAGTCGAGCCAAGCGGAACATACAAATTAAGATTAGCACTTGCATCAGCAGCACAAGCTGAGCTTCAGGTTAAAAACAAAATCCATTAATTAATTAATTAATCGATTGATAGTATAATGGATTTCGAATAACATTTGCACGTAATTTTTTCAGGTCCGAGTCAATAATCCGGATCGGAATATTCCAGCAATATTCTCGACTGGATTAATCGGGAAAGATAATGCAATCGGCCGACACGGGATTCACGGGCTGTACTGGCTGTTCAGTGTGGAAATATTGGGCTCTTCACTTGTTACAGGGAATAACACAATTTATTTGACGCAAGCAGATGCCACAGGCCCGTTACAAGGAATCATGTATGATTATATCCGTTTCGAAGGAATTTGATCATTGATTAATTTTGAGCCCGGCCCGGTTCGGCCAATACTAATCCATACAAATTCAAAAAAAAAATATGATGATATAGTTAATAAGATAATCTGTTTGTTATTTAATTAATTATTTAAATTTACTGTTGATGTAGAAAGTACCTAATCTTAATTAGCAATCAATCATATACTAGTTGACATATTAAATTAGGGGAAATAACACATTACATCCCTAAAGTTTGATCCGATTTCACATTTGGTCCCTCATGTTCAGGAAACAACACATTTGGTCCCTTGTGTTCCAATAATTAACATTTTTGATCATTTTTGTCAATTTACCATTAATGTGTTAGTTAAATCAGTGATGGGCACACACTTAATTCCGTTAGTTTTAATGAAAAATTGATGGAAAAGACTAAAAATGTTAAATTTTTGAAACATAAGGAACCAAATATAACATATTAAATTAGGGGAAATAACACATTACATCCCTAAAGTTTGATCCGATTTCACATTTGGTCCCTCATGTTCAGGAAACAACACATTTGGTCCCTCGTGTTCCAATAATTAACATTTTTGATCATTTTTTTCAATTTACCATTAATCTGTTAGTTAAATCAGTGATGGGCACACACTTGATTCCGTTAGTTTTAATGAAAAAATGATGGAAAAGACTAAAAATGTTGAATTTTTGAAACATAAGGAACCAAATATATTTTTTGTAAATATGGTGATAAAATGTAAAATCAGTGCAAATTTGATGAATGAAAACTGTATTTTTCCTAATTTAGATCCATGGTTAAACAACATAATTGAATTTTCATAAAACTAATTAATCTTATCTTAGCAACAGAGTGAGGTCTAAATAATAATATTTAATTCATTTTCAACCTCTATTATTACGTAGTTCTATAATATTACTCAATAAAAAAAATAATAAACGATAAATTACAAAATTAAGTTAATCACCTAATAGCTAATACATTACATTATTAATTAAATCCACTACAATGGAGATAATTTTCTAGGCCTGCTCGTAAACCCTAGAATCAATTTCTGCAAAATTCCCGAGTTGAAACGGCCGAGCTGTGAGTTTCTATGAGCCAGAATCGGAACGCAAGAAATAATGTTGGTAAACGTTTTATTTTTTTAATTGAAATCTCTTGTATATAATATACAGTTTGTATTATTATTATCATTATTATTAGTATTATTAAATAATATAATTAAGATTAATTTTTGCTAGTTGCAGTTGACATTAATCACGTGCTTCCTTAATCCCACCGGCATGGCTTGTGTTGGTTCTCTGTTGGTTTTTAGTCTTGTTCTGATGTTGAATTCTGGCGAATTCGTCTTTTACACCGATGAAATTACTCGCCGCCGCAGCTGGCCCCAAATCCTCCGCGCGGTGCTTTTCTTCCGCCGCAGTTAACAGTGGCCGCGGCGGCGATTCTGGAATTCCATCAATTCCGCCTCCTGTACGGCTGCGATTGCGTCGATTAAGGTCATCTGTTGATAATGTGAAGCTCTCCATCTCTAATCATGGTTTCTACGGCAGAAGGACGATTATTACTAGGTTTCAGCCTACTGTTCGATCAGCTTTAGCTGAAATTTCTTCGCCCAATGGCCCTCCGTCGTCAAATTCATATGCTGATAAAAAGCTTGCAGTGGTTGCTTGGTCCGCCATAACTCTGGCACTAGCGGTTTCGAACCGTGTGCTTCAGAAACTTGCTCTTATCCCCATGAAGAACCACCCCTTCTTTCTGGCTCAACTCAACAGTTTTGTGTATGTTCTGCAGTTATTATTATTATTAATTGTTTTTTAATAGCTTCATATTAGTTTTATAAATGATGAACAAATTTGGTTTCATGATAGACAGGTATGTGGCGGTTTTCTTTTCTGTGCTGCGTGTGAGATATCGTGCTGGCAAAACGACCGACGAGATGTTGGACCTTCCCAAATCACCGTTTATCGCGATTGGTTTTCTTGAATCTGTTTCGATTGTTTCTGCGATGTATGCTGGAGGTACCGACATAAACATTATTCATTATTCATTTTTCAAGGATGGGTAATTTAGATATCATGCAAATCTAAATATCATGTATACTTGTTCCCTAAGTTTGTGCTTCTCAAATTTATTAGCGTATACACTTTGAACTTCTAAGTTTTGCACTCTGTATATTTCTTTTGTGTGTGCGGAGTTTTTCATATGTTTGTATCCTTATATGACATTCAGTATATCACTGACTTTGAAACAAATGACCGAATCAAGGGCCAATTTCTGGAAATAAAATGAAATACTGTAAGATAGATCAGCTTTGACTTTTTCTATAACATCCCTTTGTGTTGACTGTTGAAGACATGTTTTTTTGCAGCGGTGCTCCCAGGACCAGCTATACCCTTATTATACCAGGTACAGCTGTTTTACATTGTTTGTGTTTCATAAACGATCAAACACTGTAATCATATACTTAATTTTTTGATTGTTTGATACTTATAACAAGGTAATCACTACTTATTGATCCTCATTGCTGCTTATCTTGGATATGTCCGTGCAGACATTCCTGGTTTGGCAGCTGGTCTTTTCCAGCATCATATTGAAGAGAAGGTACTCTCTCAACCAAATTCTAGGATGCTTTCTCGTGGCAGCAGGTGTCGTGGTGGCAGTTACGAGGTAATGATGTTTCTCCTTTATCACAGTTACAATAAGGAGTTTTTTAGTTTTGTATATTTACGAGCGTATTGCACTTTTTTGTGCATGTTATGCGTAAGTATGGTTTTTGATTTGGGTTAAGGCATAATTCCTTGAAAGGTTGAGTTTGGTTATCCAGGTCGACTGAATATCAATGTTCAACTATTATATGTTTTCTACAACATATATATATGTGTGTGTGTGTGTGTGTGTGTGTGTGTGTGTGTGTGTGTGTTTGTATCTAACACATCTGCTCAACCATGTCCGAATTCTGGCTGATAGTGGAGCAAATAGTGGTGGAATGTTCTCTGGAGTTGGAGTTTTGTGGCCAATGCTCATGATAGCTTCAAGTGCTTTCCAAGCGGGTGCATCTATAGTTAAGGTGATGCAACAAGTTATTGCCAATATTGTGAATCTATTATAAATTAGCAATGACATTAATCGGAAGTTGTGGAAATGTGTAGGAGTCTGTATTCGTTGATGCTGCAACCCGTCTTAAGGTACATCCATATTAGTATTTAGTATCTGTACTTGTCTTCTCTTTCTGTTTTCTCTATTCTGTAACTTTTCTTACTCGTGACATTGTCCTAAAGCAAGGTTTAAGAGTATTAAGTTGATACTCTAATTAATCCATCCATGTTCCATAGGGAAAATCATTGGACATCTTCGTCGTCACCTCTTTTGGATCCGGGTTTCAGGTAATGACATTTGGATTGCTAAAATTTCTTTTACTCGTCCATTGTTGTGTGAATACTATATAAGTAAAGATAAATGTTTCAATTTCTTCAGCCCTACCTAAGTTTTTGGTATTTTTTCTAAGCTCACAAATTTCCAAAGTTAATGTTATCCGCTCTCCGTAGTCTTTCGGTTGTGAGTCATTTTGGTTATTACAAAATCCGCTGATAATAGCTTCAAGAAATTTCAGTAACTGACTCTTGAAAAAATTATTACACATTAAAACTAAAATTATTACACATTAAAACTTATGAGTAAACACTTATTTTTTTTCTACATGCAGGCTCTTTTTATATTCCTTTTACTGCCCGTTATGGCAAACATGAAAGGAATGCTTTTATCTGACCTGCCCTCGTACTTTACAAGTGGTGCTGCTTGCTTCTTGAACATAGGAACCTCTACAACAATTGGTGAGTTTATCCTCCTTACCATCAAATTAGAAAAAAAGGTGTTTTAAGTGCATTTGATTATTTTCTCTTTTCCTCATTTTCTCCACTTTAAAAATAGACAGTTGTTATCGTTTTGATGTGCATTCACTTAATAGCTGGGAGCAATATCATATGCGTAACCATGTTATTATTTTAACTGGGAACCATATGATTTGCATACACTCTTCAGTAGTTCAAAGTCTGCTGTAAATAAATCTACATTATATCGAAATCGTAAATTGCAACGAAGTAGAAAAAAATAATACATATTGTGACTCTCTTTTTGTTGGGGAAGTACATAACTCTCTTTTTTCTCGTAGGATGTGATGGAGCGCCTCTGCTACCTCTCCTTTACTTAATTTCCAACATCCTTTTCAACATATCTGTTCTCAATCTTCTAAAAGTTTCCAATGCCATCGTCGCCTCTCTTGCTGCGAGGGCTGCAGGTTTTCTCTCTCTCTCTCTCTCTCTCTCTCTCTCTCTCTCTCTCTCTCTCTCTCTCTATCTCTCTCACACACACACACACACACACACACACACACACACACACACACACACACACACTTTCACACGAATCAGGAAAGGTGTCTTTGATGATGCATAATGATTGATAACATCCATTTTTTTTTTCTATTTTGCAGTGCCAATTTCAATTTATGTTCTTTCACTTCCATTGCCATATCTACCAAAAGGTGTAAGCTTGAGCCCATTTTTCCATTTGGGATCTGCGATTCTCGTTGTGGGGCTCATCCTGTACAACACACCCTGGCCTCGGAATCCTGAGTCTGCTATTTCGTAAGCCAATTACTATTATATTACATATCAAATTGAAATTTATTATAGATATATAATTCTTTACCCTCCTTGTTTCAGTCCAAAGTCGGAACCTCTCCCGAATCAAGACGACCGCGGGCAAAACTATCTGGCGGCGTATCACAAAAGTGTTTCAAGCTGATTTGTGAACTCAATAGCACATCATAAAGTAATTGAATAAAATTAGAACAATCTATAACCACATTATCACAAGACAATGAATTTTATTATAATTTTATTTGACTTAAAAAAATCTCCATTAAAAACAAAATGAAAATAATCATTTGACTTGGAATGATTAATTTGTTTTCTCAAATCATTTTACCAAAGCACGTTTAACACCCAAATCCAAACAAAAATAAGAACCGACTGTATTTACGAAGGTACCCTTATTTTATGTGTGAAGCTTGATATTTTAGTGTCCAATAGTTGCACATTTCCCACGTGGCAGAATAATACATTTTTTGGTAGTTGTACACTTGGTACTTGTATTAATGCCGCCATTTCCCCATTCTTCTTTCTTCGTCTTCTTCCATGGACCACCGCCTCGGATCAGCTGCAGCGGCAGCTTCTTCCGGCCGTTTGATCGTCAACTCCGCCACCAAACCTTCTACCTCTACTCTTCTCTTTCAATTTCATCCCAATTTTAATATTAAAACCCCTCCTCTAAAACTCTCCATTTTCTCCCACCCCTCTTCAGCTAACCACTTCAATAAGATTTACTATTACAACTCTCCCTATAGACTTCAGCTACGGCATTTTCCTCCGATCGCCGCCACTGACCAGACTTATCCACCGCCGCCGCCGCCGCCGCAGAAGCAGCAGCGGCCGTCCAAGTCCGATGCCAATAAAAGGAAGTTATCCATCGTCGTGTGCTCTGCAGTTACCGTAGCACTAGCCATTGCAAATCGCGTGCTTTACAAACTCGCCCTTGTTCCAATGAAGGAATTCCCCTTCTTTCTCGCTCAGCTCACCACTTTTGGGTATTTTTCTCTTTTTAATTTTCAAATTACTTTCAATTTTGTAAATTATTGAGCAAAATTAGGAATGACTTAGAAATTAGTTTCCTAGGGTATTTCTCAGTGGATTTAGAAAATGAATTATTGGGTTATGTTCTGCTATGATAGTCTCCACCGTAACTTAATTTCTTTCAATTACAATTATTACTTATTAATAATAATAAATAAATAAAAATCAGAGTACATTGAGATTGATGGTTGTTTATGATCAACAGGTATGTTGCTATATACTTCTCTATCCTTTTTATGAGATACAGAGCTGGTATCGCTACCGATGAAATGCTGTCGTTTCCGAAAATACCCTTTATAATCATTGGTTTGCTAGAAGCTCTTGGAGTTGTTTCCGGGATGTATTCTGGAGGTACGATTAGCTACTATGTTTTTTCTTTATTCATAGTTTAGCACCCCTTGACATAACTGCAAACCCTAATTCAGCTAATACAATTAAGTTAAGAACTGCTAATCTCTCATGAATACTAAGATAGTTTACTCAATGATGTGTATGTTTTACAGCCATGCTTCCTGGGCCAGCTATACCTATACTAAATCAGGTAACACCATTCTGATTTGCGTGAAACTTCGTTGTGAGATATACCGGACTAAATCCAATCCGAACATAAGTTTATTATTTAAGAAGTTTTCTATTGATGCATTTACTTAATTACCGGGTTTATAGATATCATTTTTTTTTACGTTTTTCGACTGGAAAAAAGCCTCTTTTATGTCGTGTGCAGGAATTTCAAGGTTATCTGAATTGAAGGATGGGATTTAATTGCCATTAAAAAAACATATTTAATTTGATTTATCTTTATCATTTCTGCAAGTATCGTATATTATCCGATATTCTTGATTTATACAAAGCCAGACCGAATAATTTAGCTCCGGGTCCTATTAAATGCAGACATTTTTGCTATGGCAACTAGCCTTTTCTATGCTGATACTGGGAAGGACTTACTCTTTGAACCGATTTGCTGGATCATTTCTTGTTGCTGCTGGAGTCGTATTGGCAGTTACAAGGTCAACTCCTCTACGTATAAGCATTAATAATTATTAAAAAAAATTAAAAAAAAAATGAGCTTGTATTTTGTGTAATGTAGTTTCTCAGACTGTATAATACTTGTTTTTCTTGAATTGCAGTGGATCAGAACACGATCAATTACTCTCGGGTGTTGAATTTGTGTGGCCTGCAATGATGATAGCCTCGAGTGCATTTCAAGCAGTTGCTTCTATTCTCAAGGTAATTAAATTAATCCATGATTAATTGTTGTAAGATGGCTTAAGGATTACTAATTATCTGAATTATGTGGAGATGTGCAGGAATCTGTTTTCCTTGATGCTGCAACTCGCCTCAAGGTGCCAAAAATGCAACGCCCTCGTCTTTTTTTTTTTGCTCGAGATTTATGATATGTGCTTCAAATTTCTAGAATATTATATATATAAACAAAAATTCACTAGATGTTTTGGCTGATTAATGTAGGGAAAGCTGATAGACATATTTGTCGTCAATTCCTTTGGATCTGGATTTCAGGTAATTAAAATTTATCTCACAAAGATTTCATTTGAATAGTCGCGCTCGTGTATTAATATATTTGCATGTTTGGGTATACATACAAACACATATTTACATGTATGTGTATGTGTATGTGTGTGTATATTTTATGAGGATGTAAGTTCCTTTGATTTTTAATATGCCTCCAAATTGATATATATGTATATGCTTATATAATATATTAACAAGGGAAGAATATCGAAAATTTATCGATTAAGAAAGTCTTGAATGCAGCCTCTCGTAGTCTATGATGGTCTTTCCTTTTTTTCCTTTTAGGCCCTTTTCGTGCTTCTATTCTTGCCGTTTTTGTCAAACTTGAAGGGTATACCGTTATCCGAATTCCCTTCATACTTGAAAAGTGGGGCCGCGTGCTTTTTTAATATTGGAGCAAATACAACAGGTAACCGAGAAATTTTTTTTTTGTTTCCGCCTTTGTGATTGTCATTTTGTTGACTATATGCGATGGAAATATTACGTTGAATACCCTTTTCATTTTTAATCATCACTCTTCTGTATTTATTGTCAGGATGTGACGGGTCCCCAACGCTTCCACTCCTTTACATAATAACAAATATAGCTTTCAACATATCAGTCCTCAATCTCTTGAAATATTCATCCGCCGTTGTTTCCTCCCTAGCTGTGATGTCATCAGGTACTCTTCTTACGAGTTATGATCACCTGCTTGTTACCACACGGTATTTTACCGTGGAGCCTCGTGTCCTAACAAACATCTATTATTGTCTTTCCAGTACCAATTTCGATCTATATACTTTCCCTTCCACTACCGTACCTTCCGGAAGGTGCCAACTTGAGCCCCTTCTTCGTCTTGGGTAGCGCGGTTCTTATGGTGGGACTCATCGTATACAATTTCTCGTGGCCTGTCAAGCAAGACTCGGATATCTCGTAAACTAGGGGAGTTATTCAGATCCTTCTTCTTTGTTTATCTGCATTACTCTCCTTCAGGGGGTTTTTTTTTTCCCACTCTCCTCTTTGTTTTTTTTTTGGTGGGGTAAAAAAAAAAAAAGGACCCCTCTTTGAATTAAACCCCAATTTTGTGCATTGGATTTTTTGTTTTTCGATTTTGTGGGGTAGAATTTCCTTTTTTTTTTTTTTTTTTTTTAAAGATTGTCAAATGAGATTTTAGTGGTATCTTGGGCCAATTACAGTTCCCACGGTGTAAGTGACTAACTGCACTTTGATTGGATATTTTCCTCTAAGGTCAACACTGATGAGCTTGATGTATGATTCTTTTGCTTACTTTGATTTTTTTTTAATTAATAATAAATATATAATATATAAAAAAATGTAGAATTGGGACTGGATTTGTTAATTCAACACGTGCGCCTTCATTTTTGTTCCCGAAAGATGGGAAGGAATTGTTGACAACCTTGTAACAATTTATGATACTGTTTAAACTGTAAACATGCATGCTTAATTAATATTATATATTGCTAGTACAAATGTGCTCATACAGATCAACCAGAATGTAAATTACAGATATAGATAGTTCTTTGTGATTCAAATAGGGAAATACATGCGTATATATAATACACGCAAAATACAGTACGAAAAATCACACACATACACACACGCGCGCGCGAGCGCACACACTAGAAAAGGCCCCAATCCGACCTGAGCGCGTCCTTCAAGAGCTGGAGTTGATTCTCAGGCAGAATCACATTCACAATTCTCCCTTGTTGCCCCGCATTCGGGACCACCACAACCGCCCCTTCGTCGCCCACCCCACCAATGCTTACGTCAGCAAAAACCGGGCCTTGTCCATTCATCTCCAGCCCATACAAATCCACTCCTTCCAAGTCGACAAACGTAAGATTCGACCCACCGTAAACCAACACATCAACATTCCCATCTCCTTCCTCCATTCGTTTCTCGATCAAGCTCGTTTCATCCACAAACTCTTCACCAATCATCTTAGCTATCTCAATCGGATCGGAATCCGCAATTAGGCTCGTATTCTCAGCTTCGACAGTCCCAATCACTTGGTGTGTATTACCAAGAAACTTATTTTCAAGAATACTACTATCAAATTTCCCCTTTTTACACACAGTGATTATCTTAGTCTCCTTAATTTTGGCCATCGATTTCCACACGATCGCAGATATCACTTCGAAAGGGTTTATCGTAATCTTATTACACTTGTTCCGATCTTCGGACAGCAAAGAGTTCAGCTGTTTCTGTGTGATGTGAAAAGTGTGAGTTTGCATTTTGAAGTTGTTTGGAGTTAGCCAGTTGTCTCCGAGGGAATCCAACGGTTTAAGGGAGTGGCAAAACGAGGATGTCATCATCGGTCCGACGTGGCGGGGGGTGATTGGAGGACTGTCGAGAGAGTGAGGTGGCAGTTTCTGATTGGCCATGATCTTCCCCCACGTGTTGATGCACTCTGTAGCTGAGAATGCATCTCCAAGGATATGGGTCCACCTCATTCCCACACATACTCCTCCACATTTGAACCTTGTTAACTGCACCAAACAAATAAATACATATATATATTTATTTTTTTTCTTTTTCTTTTTTCCAATTGATTGTTGACAGGGCATCGAATAGATTTTCCTTAGGTCTCGGAGCCTGCCGTCTTTCGCCTTTTTTTTTC